GGTAATCAGAGATAGCTTCATAGATGGCTTAACTATATGGCTTAGCCTCTCTTTCTATATATGAAATTATGAATAGCTAAATAGGTTATTAATTATACAAGTATTAGGAAATGAAGAAACAAATTAACTAATTAATAACATGTTTATTAATTACTTGGTGACGGGATCCAATCGTCTTTGTAACTTTATTTCAATACTTGACGATCATTGAACACGTGTCGACTTACAAATAAAAATGGTTTTCTAGCTAGCGATCAATTAGTGTTATTGATGACGACTTCTATTTGGAATACATATTTATACACACATTTGAATCTGAATTGAATCCTATGCTTGTATATATTCATCGTTATTTATGATTTGAATTTCCAATGCAAGCTACGCTGTATAATTATTTATTGATGGTAAGACAAACTCTAAAGAGTAACATTGTCATGTCATGTTTGCTGTTGTGCATGTAAATAAAATAATAAAAGCTTTCAACCAATTAAAAATAAATATCTTGAGGACAATGTTAACTATTACAAAATTATAGATTTGGAAAATTCATTGCCTCTCGGCCTCTCCCAAATTCTTAATACGTATAATATTAATTAAGCTATACGAGAGATACAATACTTTTACTATATACGTATTAAATTTCATATGCAATGATCAACTGACCTTTTGTTTAGTGCTTATGAATTATGACTCGTTGTGTAATTTCAATACCACTCTATGTAAGAATGAAATAAAATCAACTAACATCAATGTAAGGTCTATATCAAACTTCTACAATTGCAATTGGAAAATAAATTGGTGTTTCATAAAAGCCTAAATCAATTGGTTAAATTAGGTAAAAGCATGCACATATGTATCAATCTTTGATGGTAACCGGTTGGTCAATTTGCTCCGAAACCTTGTCCCCGTCAACCCTGCACTTGCAATAAATAAATGATAGAAGTAGGTGTATATATCCATTCAAAAAAGTAGGTGTTTATATATTGTTACAAATTTTAAAGCCAACAATATTATTTTACTCATAATTTAAAATATTTTACAGTATATAATAGGTAAAATTATTTGTCCATGCGATTTAATTATCAATCAATTTGAAAGGAAAAATCATTCCATCGAGGTTGCATGCTTGTAATTAATACGAGCATGAAATTGAATATATAACTAAAATAATCTTTCCGTACTTAATTAATTGTAGAATGATTATAAATCTTCCTTTATAGTTCACTTGCCCCATTCTCATGTTAACCCTTTTCTTCCCAACCTTTTATTTTATTTTATTTTATTTTTTAATTTGTAACTTCTTTTTAGAGAGATTTTAATTTGTAACTTAATATGTGCTCAATTGAACACTTTAGATAGATATAGTGTCCAAGACGTCACAAATTAGCTAGCAAGTTGAGATATAAAGCGTAGATCGAAAAAATCAGAGAAAGCTAGGTGAAGAAACCCTATCTTCCTTTTTCTATTTTATCACCTGCTCAGCTAGTGGTACTTTTGAATTTGTTGGTGAATAATTAGAAGATATGGAAAAAGATATACTTTATTTTATCTTCTATTTAAAGATTATGTTATTTAGCCTCTCTTTCTTTCAACCTTTTGTTTAGAAGTCAATTTAATGTGAAATTTTGATATGCTAAATTCTAAATTGAATAAATTAAAGAATCTTTGAATCAGTTAAGAGCTAAGAGCCCAAATGAGGTTTATCATCTCAAAATTACTAGTTTACTACCTAACTGGCAATGCACGGAATCGGAGGAATATATCTCTAATTTAAAATTATAACATGGTCATTTTCTCTCATTTTTCAATGTAGGATACTCACATACACATGTATAGTACGTATTGTACATCGTTAACAATCTTAAAATGGTAGACTTCGACAATAATGTGAATCAGCAAAATAGATTAAAGAAGTATATGTATAGTGTAGATAATTAAAATAGTGGTGGAAAATATACAAAGTTATTTGTCTTGCACACCAATTTTCTAATTAAAATTTTATATACGTTCTCAAACATTAAGATTTTATAGTTCAAAAGACTTTTTTTATTTTATTTTATTATATATATATATATATATATATATATATATATATATATATATATATATATATAAATCGCATGGACAAATAATTTTACCTATTATATATGTGTATATATATATATATATATGTATATATATATATATACAAATACAAAAATTAAATAATCACTTTATAAGAAATACTATTAAAATTTTATGTAAGTTATACTATGTACTTGGATTACTTATGCAATGTAACAATAATCACATCAATAAATCAGAATAATGGAAAATTAGATGAAAAGAATGTACCATGATATAATATATATACTACTTTATACCATTGTAGAAGTAATAAATAAGAACATAGTCGGTCATGATTGAGGAACAAATGAAAGTAATTAAATTTCCACCTGTCATAACCCCATATCTTCAACAATTATTCCCAGGATTGTGGTGTAATTATTCAAGATATGATTCTCTTACATCCTATCCATACATGAAAATTAAATACCATCATCTTGAATTTTCCATTATTCCTTTATTATTACATGCTTTTATCCGAGCTTGTTGGTCCAAACCAAGAAAGTTAAGGAAGAAGTCGGTCGTGAATGATTCTTCATGAAATTTCTTTATTGGTTGGATGGATCAACACAAATTCTAAGCCCTAATATTTTTTTTTCCTTTTGATATAAACCCTAAATTCATAGTAATCTACATAATTTCAATGTTGCTTTATACCTATTTAATACTCACCATGTGTCATCGTGGTGTGAGAAGGAGGCTTGGCTCAATTGACAAAGTCTCTCAAATTCTAGGTGAGAGATTTGGGTTTGATTCTCATCAAATTCACCTTAGGAGGATTTCCCTATTTCCCTCCTCTTAAGGTGAGTGTTCACCTTACCAATTAGAAGAAAAAAAAAAAAAGTCTCATCACGATGTAATATCTCACATTCTCACGTTTTAAATTTTTTGACATATGTCGAGGGTACAATAAGCTCCTATAGTCCTACTAGTCATAGATACCACAAAACTAAACCAAAACTTAAAATTGTAAACTTTTCTTTAACAATTATAGCTCGAAAAACGCAAAGTTATTTAGTTTTTTTTTTTTGTTTTTTTTTTTTTTTGGGGAGGGGGGGGGGAAGTTGTTGCTGAGTTGATGAGTATATTATTTACGCAAGATCCAACTTATATTATTTGAAGTAATCGATCTACCCTACCATAAAAGGTTTTTTTTTTTTCATATTTATATTATCTACTTGATATTTCAAAATTTCATTTTGTTGATAAACCATTTCATAAATATAGTCACATGTGATCTTTGTTTGAATTGTCTCAATATATATTTTTATTTATAATATAAATTTTTGACAATCGTGCATTTGACTTGTATATTGTCAAAAGAAACGTGTTAACAAAAAAGAACAAAGGAAGTACATATCATACACGGATACCGCTAAGTATTGGTACTTACCTATGCGGTATGAAGTTATGAACCAATACATACAATGAAAGTTTTGTAAATATTATGAACTTTTTTCTTGAGATAATAAAGATACCATTAAGTAAATAAATAGTATCATTAGATTGTGCAATGGTATTATAATATCATCTGATTGTACAAATATGTCATGATATTTTTTCTAGTAGTACAAATAAAGTTTAATATATTAGGTAAATTTCAATGATACTAATGATACATAAAATATACCATTAAAACTCCAATGATACTATATATGTTTCTAATGGTACACAAAATATACAATTAAAATCTAAAATTTTACAGAAAATGTCTAAAATATCCTGTGCTGTATGATACTCCTTCTGTCCTTATTTTTTTTTGCCCCATTTGACAGTACACGGTCTCCAAGACGCGTATTAAAACGTCTAAATCTTAATTTCTATACACGTAAAAATTAAAAAAATGTGATATTAATAAAATATACAATCTAACAAGACCACTCATGACTATATTATCTTTTATAGATTAACGGTAATTTATGGTCAAAATTTTTAAAATTTGACCCTAAAAATAGCAATGGGACAACAATAAAGAGACGAAAGGAGTATACAGCAAGACCGACTCCACGGATACACCTACACCAAGCCAGCCTTATTATTACTATTTTTTTTTTTTTTCCTCCTCGAAGGTAATTTATGAAGTTCCTTTTTTAAAAAAAACAAAAAAGTTACATTTATGAAGTTCTGAGAATGGACGGTTGTGAGCCAACAGAAGTGCATGGGCCCAAGTAAGAAATTGGTCTTTGCAATTTTAGCCAGGATTTAAGATAAGGCGTTTATAAAACGTAAATTAAATTTGGGGCCATTTATGTAAGGGACTACTGGGCACCGGGCGCAGGGCTCCGACTCGGGTTTCCGTAATTAGTAGTAGGCTAGTACGCCTTAAAAAAAAAAAAAAAAAAACCTTTAATATGGCATGCTATTTGTTTATACTAGGTTAATCAACCAAGCAGTAGGGTTTAATTTCTTCTAGGGGTAATACATATATCGTTTTTTTTATAGAAAATTATTATTAATACAGTACTTGATAAAACTTTTTTTTTTTTGGTAAGACAATCATTATCCAGACATGAATTTTTTTAAGAGAATGGTAAAGTTGTATTAATACTATTTAATGATAATTTTAGTATTAAGGGGTATAATACATCCGTTGTGTGATGTTAGTTGTCATTAATGATTTATTTAGGACAAAGTTTACAAATTCTGACTATAAAGTTGTGCTTTTTATACATTCTGTTCATATTTTTGAAGTGCAACAATTTGAATTTTGCAGTCAAAATTTGTTTATTAAAGGATATAAATAAATATTACCATTTGGTCAAATATGATCTTGTAAAACTTCGTTTTAAAATGTGTGATACAAAATGAATGTTGTGAAATGTACATGGGTTATTACAAAAGGTTACAAAATGTTAATAATTTATTATTGAAAACATTATTTTCATAGTATATAACTAAGGTTGGGGGTGAGGCCGGGATTCCTTAATACCATAAGAGTTAGGTTGAGATATGATAAGGGTCCTTTTCCTTACTTTAATTTTTTATTTTATTTTTATTTTTTTTTTAAAATAAAAATTAGATATTCTACTTGCTTAGTGATCAATTATTGTACTTAAAACTTTGTAATTACACATGTACCTTTTTCAGTACTGTAATATAGTCTTTTCCAATTGTGGAAAGTGTACATTTTTTACCACATATGGAAACTGACTAAGGTAACTTAATATAGAAAGGTCTCATTATCACATGATTAGCGGACAAATTACATCATGGTCTGCCATTTCCATGTGAAAACTTGTACTCTACTAATAAAAAGTCTACTACGGAGTATCAATTTACAAGTATAGTTATTAAGTACACAATCGTATAGTTAAAATTTAATACTGTATAAAGTACAAAGTAACTATTTGCTGGCCTAATTTAATAATTAAAACCCATAATTACATATCTTAAACTGACAATCACCGCCCTTAATTATATAAACTACCTTGAAATATTTCTCTAATTTGATTTTCTCTTAGCAAAGTGTTGACCAAATAATTAAAAATACAGTATTAAAGAAGTAGCTCGTGCTTCAATTAAATGTTGTTCGTCTTATTGATCATCTTCCGGTGCTCGAGATTTATAGACAATTTGGTTCCTGATTTACAAACACAATAAAGAATGGATCATGAATAATATATTTTATACAAATTAAAAAACAATTTAATCAATGTTTAATGCAAGAAAGTACATAGGATAAGTAAAGCTACTTAATTAATACAATTAGTGAACTTACTAAGATGAGCTAGCTTAGTTCGTAAATTAAAGGACAAAGTGTTCATGAATACTCAATACATAAGGGGAGATCTTCGGAAAAAAAATACGAGTATATACTTATCGCGCAATTATATAACATTAAATGGAACTATCTTAGCAATACGACGGGTTAAAACATTGTCATCAATTTTTTTTTTCTAAGTTTGAACCAATTAAAAGGCTTGAAAGAACGCTTAATGCTAAATTATTATCTAAATCCGAATCGAAATAAGTCAGAAATTGGCACACAGATTCCAAAGATTACATCATGATATAGACCAAATTAGGTTTTTGAGACTTTAATATTGGATCAGACTGTATCATTATTTCATCAAGAACCAATTACGTCACACTAATTACAATATAATTAATTGAGTAGTAGAAAAAATTGGAAACATGGAAGAGAAAATTGGTAATGGATAAACAAAATAAATCGGAACTTATGGTGCTTCAAAAGTTGATGAATTACCTAGCTATATGTTTGATTTAATAGAACAGGAATTCCCACGTAATCGTCTTTTATGTAAATCAAAATATTCAGAAGCCAAATAGATTTCAGCTAATATTGATTAGAGCCGAATCAAATTCCAAATGGGAAAAATCTATGCAATCAATGCTAGGGCATTTATAATTTAAATCTGAAACTCGATCAAGACATATCATAGATTAAATTGGAACAACTCCTTCACAAATGACGAAAAAATATGATTTTTTAATTCCATGAGACTTACCCTCTTAATCTGAGGTCTTCAATAATCAATATCCATTCCAATTTCTTGCGCTTTCCTTCTCTATTGAATATACCTTAATCAAATATAACCTAAATATATGAAGACAATAATTAGTCAAATTCAATTTAAGCCTCTTAATCCAAAAGAAATAGACTTACCATTTCATTGCCTTAGAATTCCATCTGAAATTCAATTTGCATAAACAAACATGTAAATACAAATAAACAAGGCCATGATTTATATATTAAGCATAACATATGCAAATAAAAAACATTCCTAAATAATTACTAAACATAATAAAAGAACATTAGTATATGTAGAAGGGAGGAAGGTGATGACAGAGATAGAGAGCACAAAGGTAATAAAATGCAAATTTCAAACATTTCATCCATCTGTGCTCTCTATCTTCTGTCAGCGCCTCGCATTCGCCTATTATACATACAATTGCAACAACATCGAAACCTTAATCCCAATCAATGTTAAAGTCGGCTACATGAACCAAGAAATGAAAAGCAACGAAATATAATTGGTAATTAAATTAAATTAAGGATAGAGGGGCTAAAGGTGGTGACAGAACATAGAGAGCACAAAGGAGTTGAGATGCAGCAAATTTAATCTGCATATCATCCTCAGTGCTCTCTATCTTCTGTCAGCTTCCATTCACCACTGCCTCCTCTTTAACATGTTCCGAACACCGCGATAAATTATATAAAAGGCTTGAAGGTTGGTGTAGATGACCTTAGCTTCAATTTCTCCCTTTGAGGTTTGGTTGTTTGTGGATTGTTGGAAGAGAGTTGAAGTACAGAAAACCTATTTATAGGGGTGAAGGGTTATTGTACTTCAAATGATCACATAATATTATGAAGTATAATGTGAATGCACTAATTAAAAATGAAAGGTAGAGATATATACCTTATAATATTCCCTTTAAAGGAAAATATTTATTTGTTGTCATATTTGGAGAATATGCAAGCGATTCATATTTCCCAAAATGAAAGGCTCTTCTATCTGTCAATAATTTTATTTAATTTGGTAGATAATTTTTGCAAATGGCCTGGTTAATATAATAATATCAATGTTATTTTGGAAAAATATAATATGTTATATTTTCTTTTCAACTGTGACTTGTGAGCTAACGTGAAGTCGTGAATTGAAATAGTGAACCTATGCTATGCTAAATATAAGGAAAGATAACAAAGAGAATCCTACAATATCTTTCAAAATCATAGATTTCATCAAGTTTTTCCCATATGAATATAGGTAAAGTTCAATATGTTTGTGTCTTCATACAATGCACAATTTGTGATTATAATCAACAAGTTGTAGAGTTTAATGTACATAGGGTAATAAAGTCGGCAAGGTAGTGAAAATCTAGATTGGGAAACAGATGCATTCAGGCATTGTAACGACACGTATATGATAAAATGATGACAATCCAAATGTAAATTACATAGATACACACTTGCTTACATATATGGGCATTGCTATGACATAATACAATGGAAAGAGATTATTCTACAAGGATTTGAGAAAAAGACAATCCAAATAAAACATATGGATCGGATAAGCTTTGAATATATGCTACTGGATGTATATATAGTGTGTCAATATTTAATTCGTGCCAAATTAATTACCGTATGTGTTATCTCTAGCTAATAATAAATGTTCACTTCCTTCCATTTAATTAAATATGTATTTAAGTTTCTTCTCATATACGAGGTTTAAACATAGTCTATAAATTAAATCTGATTTAATTTTGTGTATGTGAACGATAATTTTATATATAAGTGTAAAATGAAAGAATTACAGACAAATATAACGTAATGTGACATTATGTCTCGATATTTATTATAATGTATAATTAAGCAACCAAGGTCTAAGGTCTAATAATATATGCTTTTGAAATACGGGGTATGTATCGGTGTTTTATGCAAGCTTTTTATGAATTGGCAATATTAGTAGAAAATGAAAGGGAAAAAAGGCAAATAGGCTAGGATACGTCTTAATCTTTGATAGCGGCTTGTAAAAAATTGTCCCCATTAAATAAACCTGAATGCATAGATAGCCACTATTTTAAACCCAAAACTTAGCTTGCTTCAGTACTTGTAGTATAGCTTAGCTAGAGGATCCAAATACTTCATCTCTATGGTCACCATTTTCTTTTGAAGATTTTTAATGATATATTATTCTCCTCCTTTTTATTTTCTTGGACCCAATGCAATTTATATCAAATCAATAGATTAATTTCAATTTCAATTTCAATTTGATATGAAGCATATTTGGATTATTTTGGAGTTTTAGTTCTATATCTTCGAAAAATTGCATATTATTTTTGTAAGACATTTTGTTCTAGCTCATATTTGGGTAAGAGTCTTAGCTCTATACAATGTCAAATTCACAAAGTGAATTTGTTGATACGTCGCCAGAATAGCATTTTGTGAAACTAATTAAGGTGAATTCTTGTTATAAGGAGCAATCTTTGATACTTTTAAGGTAAATTTGACATGTTTGGGTAAGTTTGTGTGAGATTATCATCATATGACTTGCTCAATCAAACAAAGTTATGTGTGAATTGTGTGATTGGAGTTAAAATTTTTAACAAGTTATCTAACAATCTACGATGGTATATCTAGATCTAAACCATACACATACTAAGCCCCTCATTTAGTTAATTAAATAAGATTATTAGTACGTTTAGTGGTACGAATATATGATCCCTAATTCATATGTGTGTCCTCTTTTCGTAAACTACCTATCATTCAAGTTGGGTATCCTTTGTGATAAGGAGTCTAATATGAGGGTCCCACGCACTTTGTCTTGAAAAATTGCATTTGAACCTAGACTAAAGAAGCTATCAAGAGTCATCGGTTAAATTAATTGGCATCTGTCTGTCTTGTCTAATCTGATGAAAAAAAACTTTTTTTTTTGAAAAAAATTAAAGCTGAAAGATCTGGAAAGACAGAACGAAAATAAAGGAAAAATTAGACATCACAAGAATTCGTTGCAAGTTGCACATAGAGAGATAAAGCATGGGAAGAAGATGGAGAAAGTTGGAGAAACCCTATTCACAAGAGCCTTATCTTAACCTCTTTTCCATTCTATCGCCTGCCCCATTTGTCTTCCTATATCTTTGCTTTTAATTTTGTTGGTGCAAACCAAGATATTATGGGCGGTCATTGTGATTGAAACTATAATGCAAACTTCCACCTGTCATCACCCCATACCATCATCAAGTTTATATTCAAATAATACACTATACTATAGTTTGAAATATAATATAATGTCAAAAAGTATATAATTATCTTTAAGAGCATTTGATCCCCAATTTGGATGTGATGATTCAACATTAATCAGTCAAGGTGATTATGCATGTTTCATATATGCATGTCTTTTCCAACCTCATGAGCAGTTATTCCTTATCATTTTACTATTTGTTGCCTTCTTGCCTAATTTTTCATCACACAGGAAATTTAAGCTTTTGTAGTGCAATATTTGAATTGTGAGTGGATAGTCCGATCCTATTTCAATGCCTATGAGGGCTTAATTGTTCGTTATTGGACTTTATAATTTTTATTGTTTAAAAATATGGTTTGTTAAATAAAGTTAGATCTTGTTCTTTTGAGCTGCTCTGCTCTGTTCAGCACTGCTTACTCAATCTTCTCTATTTTGCTAACACCTGCTCTGCTTGCCTAGAAGCTCAAAAGAACAGGGCCTGACTTTATGATACCACTTAATTTTTCTATTGTTATTTTAACATGATTTTTTTTTTTAATTAAGGTAAGAAAAATTATCAGAATTTATTAATCAGACCTCAATTTTCACAGTTTTTTTTTTTCTTTTGGTATACAATTTGTGGGTTAGACACTTGAGAGTGAAGGGAGAATAAGGGATCCCACCCTCAATGCGCCTTTTAGTAGGGGAATGAACCATCAACCTTAAGGTTGGAAGGTGAAGCTACTATCTAGACCAAGCTTAACTTGGTTTAACATGACTGATACATGTCGATCTGACCATTTTTTAGTAGTTAATTAAGTAATTAGATAGTTATAGTATAAAAAAAAAGTCAAAATTGTTAGATATATGCTTCTTACATGTTTGCATGGTATAATATTGTGTTACATTGGACTACCGAAGAAAAAAAAAACAAAAAAAAAAATTGTTTTTATAAATACCTCTTGATAATATATACAATATAATTTTTATATTATTGCTTACAATATTACAGAGTACCATCTACCTACACTCAATTGTATCGTTATAATTTCTCTTGAGACAATCAATATAATATATTTTAATGTCCTTAAAATATAATTATAGAGAAACCATGACAATACTAATCTTTATGTACGTGTAGAATTTGAGATATTCAAATTGATTGGAACTTTGATTTTATATGAATACAAAGTGGTTGTCATTTTGAGAAAACTTTAAATTAAAACTCAAAATATGTTTTAATAAAAAAAATGCGGAATCATTCTATTAGGTCACCGATGACTGAGAAAGGAGATAAAGGGGGAAGGGGAAGAATGAGAACCTAATATAAACACATGTCGATGAAAAATGGTGAAATTCAAACTCTTACAACAATCAATCAATCATACTATCTCTTTAAATGTCATCCATTTACTACTTACGTTACTGATATGTTAAAAATCCTTTTTAATATTATATTATTTAAACTGAACTAATCTTTTAAGAAAGTTAGATACACATGGTAAGGTCCCAAAACCAATTACATTCGCAAAAATCAAATTATAAAATTTAGTGGCAAATCCTAATATAAAAAATGTAAAATAAAATTAATATTTAAATTTTTTTTTTTTTTATAAAAAAAAATTAAGGAAAAGGAGCACACCCTGTTCCCTGGGTGTGTAGGGTAAAGAATAGGGACCCAAAAATTTTGGACTATCCCAAATTGGTGGAGCGCGTATTATTCCTTTCTGGGGAATACCAAATTGCTTACAAGTCCGTCAAGAAGAGACCAACCGTAGGCCATAGTTAGTTGATGAGAATCTCTAGTTAAAAATCCTCATTTTATTTATTTATTTATTTTTCTTCGACTTCCATTATACAAGTATTATTATTGGAGGGATACATACTTTAATTTTCATTTCAATTCATGCCAAAGCATATAATAATAAAAAGTAAATAAGATATCTTAATGAAAAGAAAACACACTTTTAAGTTTTTATCATAAGCATATTTTGCTTCATTGTATGGCACTTGATGAAGAATGAATCTTGAATTTAAGGGCAAATAAAAATGCATGGTTTACATTTCAAGAGTTGGCAATTTCTATGTGATGTTATAGATGTAACATGAAAATTCCTTTTTGTTGGGTGTAGAATAATGTGGAACTTAAACCCTTTTCGAACTGAGTCAATTTATGATGTGCTTTGATATGTCAATTCTTTGTGACGGCATGAAGATTTAAAGCATAATTATAATATTGTTATAGTTAAGGAATTAATCTATCTACAATGTTGCTCTACTTCTAAGTTGTAGATACTCTATTCATTTCACTTTTTTTTTTGGGTAAGTTAAGATTTAATGACAATGATAAAACAACTAGTAAAATTGCGCTTCCCTACGTTTCTGTAAGGTGTTCCTAATTTGGAGTATTTTATTCGAAGATACTAAAACTATAACCATACGAATTTGCCGATTAATGTAAGAAAAACATACTCATGTTGAATCAATTTGTCTAGATGTGTAAAGAAATATTATCAATTGTTTGTACCACTTACTTAGAGTTATTAAATTTCAAATATATTTATTAAAAATTATGCAAACAACAAACAAAGACAACCTATAAGACAAAGGGACAACTAATTATCTTGACATATCTATCTAGCTTTCTAACCTTTCCAGTCAAATTAGCTTAGCATCTAGAACTACTAGTATAAATTCTATTCCATGAGTAATCACATGTGTATGGCGAACACAGAATTCTTCCAAAATGAGAAAGTTATTGTTTCGGATGAAAACAATCGAATCTCGGAAGATCCTTTTATCTTGAGGGAACTTGGTCTCGGTCCGAACGACGCAGGAGCCGAGGGTTTCCTGCACAACAAATACACGTAAACTAGCCTCGGGGGGGACGCCGAGGAAGGCCCCTCCGAT